GCACCCCCACTACCTCCGCTACCTCCGCCTCCACCTCCACCGGAACCACCTTTCTTGCCCCCCCTGCCGCGGGACCGCGACGCAGTCGTAACAGCAGCCGCAGTCGCGTCAGTAGCGGCAGTGGCAAGAGAGGCAGTGAAGGTGGGTAACTGCGGGACTGTGCACCCGTGGAAGAGTGGGGGGGACACAGTACCAGAGGCGGCAGCTACCGAACGAAGGTTGCTCTCGACGTCCTTGAGTGCAGACTCAAGGACCTCGATAGTCAGCTCACTAGGGTGCTTCAGCAGAAGCGCGTCACGAACGGAGGCAAGGCGGTCAGGGAGGCTAGTGGCGATGAAATAGACAGTAATCGCCATGGGGGGAGGAAGCAGTGCAAGCTGTGCCTCAGTGCAAGCAGCGCGGTAACTAGCGTCGAGCGAGCGGAGGTGAGCGATCAAGTCAGCAGAGCGCTCAAACGAGGCAAGATCAGGAAACAGGAACGGGAGGAAAAGACGGCCGAGAGAGACAGTAGCGGGAGTAGAGTAGCGGGCCTTAATCGCAGTGAGGTACGCAGCAGCGGTGCGAACCTGAGTAAAGTGGACCTCCTCGGACTCAGGGAGGAGGCTGCTGAGTGCGATGCAGGCCGCAGCGTCACGCGACGTCCAAGCCGTCCGGTCAGCGCGCTGACGGGCAAAGCGAGCCGTAGCAGCGTCGTCAGGAGCAGGGCCTAAAGCGGTAGGCTCGGGGGGCTCGGGGAGGTCACCAGTAGCGTGTGACCAGAGGGTCTCGCCCCCCTGGACCTGACTCTCTAACAGACGACGAGCGCGAAGAAGCCAGACGGAAAAGTCAAGGGGTCTACCGTCAGCGTCGAAACGAAGAACTCGCGGAGTCGCCATAGTGAGAACCAACGCGAACGAACAGGCGAGTAACAACCGGGGGGGAAGAGGACTCAGTCGCAGCGGAAGAGCGGGCTAGGGCGACGGGCCAAAACGTAGGGTAGGGCAACGGGCCAGGGCCTAGGGTAGGGCGACGGGCCAGAGCCTAGGGAGGGCGACGGGCCAGGGCCTAGGGAGGGCGACGGGCTAGGGCCTAGGGAGGGCGACGCGACGGGAGAAAGGGCGGGAGCGACGCGACGGGGCAGGGCGACGCGACGGGACAGGGCGACGCGACGGGGCAGGGCGGCGCGACGGAGCAGGGCGACGGGACAGGGCAGGGCGACGCGACGGGGTAGGGCGACGCGACGGGACAGGGCGACGGGACGGGACGGGACGGGACAGGGCGACGCGACGGGACGGGACAGGGCGACGCGACGGGACAGGGCGACGCGACGGGACGGGACAGGGCGACGCGACGGGACAGGGCGACGGTACGGGACAGGGCGACGCGACGGGACAGGGCGACGGGACAGGGCAGGGCGACGCAACGGGACAGGGGGGGAACAGGCGGGCGCGACGCGACGGGGGGAACAGGCGCGACGCGACGGGGGGAACGGGCGCGACGCGACGGGGGGAACGGGCGCGACGCGACGGGGGGAACGGGCGCGACGCGACGGGGGAGATGATGCTAGGCTCGGTACTAGGCGCGGTAACAACTAAACTGGTACGAACGAGAGGTAGGATCAGGCTCGGGAGGTACGAACGGAGAACGGAGGAACGGGATCCCACAGGATCCTAACCTAGCTGATACCATGTCAAAATGAGGAATGGGTGGTGCATTGATGTTGGTTGGGGTACATATGACAAACCCTAACTTCTGTACCCCCTAAGACAAACCTCACTACAGGCTACAACATTTGACATGTAATGCCCTGCCAGCGCAGCATCTTCGTGCCGCGATACCCTCCTCTTCGGGTTCAGACAGGGGGTACCCGTCTCTCCCCGACGAGGACCCCGAGGCGCTAACCAGAAGGGGTCCCTTTGAATCTCTCATTTATTCCCCGTTTCTCTCAGTTTCTCGTTCAGTTTCTTGGTTTTTGTTCTTGCAAATTTGCACACTCTAGGCCCTTGTTCTTGCTATTTTGCACACGCTAAGCCCTTGTTCTTGCAATTTTGCACATGCTAGGCCCTTGCTTTTGCAATTTGCACACGCTAGGCCCTTGTTCTTGAAATTTCGCACACGCTAGGCCCTTGTCATTGCAATTTTGCACACGCTAGGCCCTTGTCATTGCAATTTTGCACACGCTAGGCCCTTGTTCTTGCTATTTTGCACACGCTAGGCCCTTGTTCTTGCAATTTTGCACACGCTAGGCCATTGTTCTTGTATTTTTTCACACGCTAGGCCCTTGTTCTTGCGATTTGGCACATGCTAGGCCTTTGTTCTTGCAATATTGCACACGCTAGGCCCTTGTTCTTGCAATATTGCACACGCTAGGCCCTTGTTCTTGCAATTTTGCACGAGCTAGGCCCTTGTTCTTGCAATTTTGCACACGCTAGGTCTTTGTTCTTGCAATTTTGCACGCGCTAGGCCCTTGTTCTTGCTATTTCGCACGCGCTAGGCCCTTGTGTCAGATTTATATGACATAGCTACTGTAGGCTCTAGTGGGGCAGCCCATATGGGGTACAGATTTCTAGGGTTTGTACTTGTACCCAACTTTCACCTAGTCATTTCATTCTCGTTCATTTCTCATGGTATCGAGCAGGTTCCCCTGTGGGAACTGTTCCTAGAGCCCACCACTTTTTTTTCCTGCCCGGAGCGCGCTCTACTCTGCCCGAGTCGCGCTCCCCCCTTTCGACCTTGTCGCGCCGCCTTAGCGGCCCCGTCGCGTCGCGCTTGCGGCCCCATCGCGTCGCCCTCGCGGCCCCGTCACGTCGCGCCGCCATATCGGCCGCGTCGCGCCGCCCTCGCGGCCCCGATCCGCCGCCCTCGCGGCTCCGTCGCGTCGCGCCGCCCTCGCGGCCCCTTCGCGCCGCCCTCGCGGCCCTTTCGTGCCGCCCTCGCGGCCTCTTCAAGCCGCCCTCGCGACCCCCTCCTAGCCGCCCTAGCGGCCCCGTCGCCTACCCCTGCGGCCCCGGCGCCGCCCTTCCCGGCCCCGGTGCCGCCTCTGCTGGCCCCGTCGCCTACCCCTGCGGCCCCGGCGCCGCCCTTCCCGGCCCCGGCGCCGCCTCTGCTGGCCCCGTCGCCTACCCTGCGGCCCCGGCGCTGCCCTTCCCGGCCCCGACGCCGCCTCTGCTGGCCCCGTTGCAGCTCCACCCGGCCCCGCCGCCGCTCCACCCGGCCCCCGCCGCTCCACGTGGCCACGTTGCCGCTCCACCCGGCCCCACCGCCGTCCCCACGCCGCCCCGCCGTCACCACCGAGCCCCCGGCGCCGCCGAGCTGCTGCCGAGTCGCCCGAGCCACCCGAGCCGCCGTGCTACCTGAGCCGCCCGAGCCGCCGGGTTGCGAGCTGCCGAGCCGCCGTACCGCCGAGCCGCCCGAGCCGCCAGTGCCGCCGAGTCGCCGAGCCGCTGTACCGCCGAGCCGCCCGAGCCGCTAGTGCCGCCGAGTCGCCGAGCCGCCGTGCCGCCCGCACCGCCGAGCCGCCCGAGCCGCCTTGTCCGGTAAGAGCAGCGCCTCTGTCACTGCACTGCCTTTACCCTACTGTTCGCGCTGATAGTCTACTGCTGTCATGGCTACCCCTAGTGTCCTCGCTTTTGACGCTGAGGGTCGGGCCATTGACTTTGACGTCTGGATAGATGACCTGCAGCTTTTCCTACAGTGCGATAGGGCAGACGGTCTCTCCCTCTTTGACCTCACTTCTGGTGCCTCTCATGCCCCTGCTGCTGATGCTGACGCCACTGTTCGCTCACAGTGGGCCACACATGATGCTGCTGCACGCCTTGCTGTGCGTCGCCACCTGCCTACCTCTGAGCGTGCGCACTTTAGCCTTGTACGACGCTGTAGTTGCACGCTACTCCTCCCCTGCCACTGCTGCAGTGAGCCGCCTCATGCTACCGTATCTCTTCCCTGACCTTGCTGCCTTTCCCACAGTCACTGACCTCATTACGCACCTCCGCACTAATGACATTCGCTACCGCGATGCGCTTCTTGCTGAGTTCTGCGCCAAGAACCCCCCCCCCCATGTACATCACCCTCTACTACATAGTCGCCCGGCTCCCTGACTCTCTTCGCGTAGTCAGGGACCACTTCCTCTCAGTGTGCCCCACCACTCTCACCGTTGACCTCCTCGAGAAGGCCCTCCTAGCAGCAGAAAAGAGCATAGTCGCTGTAGTTAGGTTTCTTAGAGATCGAGTTTAGGGTTCTCTCCCACAACACAGGCATGTGCTGCTGCGCTCTGGGCGCGCGGCGTCTTCCTGCCCCGCGGGTGGCCTGCCCTCACGCCGCCTGCGCGCCTGCCTCACGTCCACGGGCGGGCCAGTTTTGCCCGCCCGTACCCTCCACTTCGCGGCGCCCTGCGAGGTGCCGCTCCTGCTCGTCACGACGCACCTGCAGGACCCGGGCGCCGCCGCTCCTGCTCGTCGCGACACCCTTGCAGGACCCGCACGGCGCCGCCTTGCTCGTCGCGACGGCACTGCGGGATCCACGGGGCGTCGCCACTGCTCGTCGTGGCGCCCCCTGGACGCCGCTCCTGCTCGTCCACGGCGCCCCTGGGGCGTCGCCCCTACTCGTAGCGGCACCCCTTGGGCGCCGTTCCTACTCGTCGCGGCGCCCTCACCCCTGGCCACCGCCTCTGCCTCACCTGCGCTTGCGCCAGCGTTGCAGCCGCGCGCGGGCCTACCTTGCACCAGCGCCGCCCCTGGAGCAGCCGCCCCTGGACCTCAGCAGCCGCCCCTGGACCCGCAAGCCGCCCCAGCAGCAGCCCTCAGCGCCGCCCCTGGAGCAGCCGCCCCTCGTGCAGCCGCCCCTGGACCTCAGCAGCCGCCCCTAGACCCCGCGAGCCGCCCCAGCAGCAGCCCACGGCGCCGACCCTACAGCTGTATGCGCCGCCGCTCCTGGACTCGGTACGGCTGCCTGCCTGTACTGCCCGTTGCTGCCTGTTGCTGCCCGTGCCTGTGCTGGCCCGTTGTTGCTGTTGCTGCCCGTGCCTATGCTGGCCCGTTGGTGCCTGTTGCTTCCCGTGCCTGTGCTGCCCGTTGCTGCCTGTTGCTGCCCGTACCTGTGCTGCCTGTTGCCGCCTGTTGCTGCCCGTGCCTGTGCTGCCTGTCGCTGCCCGTGCCTGTGCTGCCTGTTGCCGCCCGTTGCTGCATGTGCCTGTGCTGCCCGCTGCTGCCTGCTGCTGCCCGAGCCTGTGCTGCCCGTTGCCGCCCGTTGCTGCCCGTGCCTGTGCTGCCCGTTGCCGCCCGTTGCTGCCCGTGCCTGTGCTGCCCGTTGCCGCCCGTTGCTGCCCGTGCCTGTGCTGCCTGTTGCCGCCCGTTGCTGCCCGTGCCTGTGCTGCCTGTTGCTGCCCGTGCCTGTGCTGCCTGTTGCCGCCCGTTGCTGCCTGTGCCTGTGCTGCCCGTTGCTGCCTGTTGCTGCCCGTGCCTGTGCTGCCCGTTGCTGCCTGTGTCTGTGCTGCCCGTTGCCGCCCGTTGCTGCCCGTGCCTGTGCTGCCTGTTGCCGCCCGTTGCTGCCCGTGCCTGTGCTGCCTGTTGCTGCCCGTGCATGTGCTGCCTGTTGCCGCCCGTGCCTGTGCTACCTGTTGCCGCCCGTTGCTGCCCGTGCCTGTGCTGCCCGTTGCCGCCCGTTGCTGCCCGTGCCTGTGCTGCCTGTTGCTGCCAGTTGCTGCCCGTGCCTGTGCTGCCCGTTGCTGCCCGTTGCTGCCCGTGCTTGTGCTGCCCGTTGCCGCCCGTTGCTGCCCGTGCCTGTGCTACCCGTCGTGTGCCCTGCTGCTACCCGCGCCCTTGTGCGCTCTGGTCTGCCTGCGCCCTTGTGCGCTCTGCTACTGCTCCGCGCTGTTGCCCTGCACGCGCGGCTACCCTGCCCGTGCCTATGCTGCCCCTGCTCTTCCCCCTCCCCCTTCTTTGTCTCCTTGCTGCGCGTGTAGCCGTGGAACGGAGGCTATGGGGGTGGCGGGTATGGGGGTGATGGGTGTGTGTGATCCCCTTCCCCTCCTCCTCCTTTCTCTCCCACTGCTGCAGCTGCCGCTGGGGGGGGGGTGGGTGTGAGGGTGTGGGGGAGCTGGGGGAGAGGTGCTAGGGTTGTCGAGGAGTGTGGAAAGGGGAGTTGGAGGACTGAGGAAGGTTCCAGGAAGCAGCTGCCTTGGAGCCAGAAGCTTCACCTGCCAGCAGCTTCTCCTCATATAGTTCCTCCTCCTCACTTGCCCTCTCCTTCTGTTGCGCTTGGTGTACCCCTTGAGGGGGTGTCTCTGCATTAGCTTCTGCTGCAGGCAGTTATGGGGGAGTGTCAGAATATATCTGTAACTGCCTGTAGCTGTAGTTAGTGTAGTTATGATAAACTTTGTTTGGTGGTGCACCTTCTTTGTTCCTTTGCTATATGTTGTTGCCAACCTATAGTGAAGCCCTCTTTCTCCTTTCCAACTTTCTCGACACTCTCCTCAACCCTAAACTCGATCTGTAAGAAACTAACTAAACTATGGCTCCTAAGCCCACCTATGCTTAGTATCTCAACATAAAAATCTCCTCCTGAAGGATGTCGTTAAGGAATGCCGTTACGATGTCCATTTGTTTTACTACCCATCCTTTGATGGCGGCTCCCGCGAATAGGGTTCGCAGCGTCGTCGCCTTCACCACAGGGGCAATTCTCCTTCTGCTGCTGTACCCCTTGGCTACAAGCCTTGACTTGTAGCGCTCGATCTTGCCGTCGGCATCCGACTTGATTTTGAAGAGCCACTTGGCCGTTATCGCCGTACGCCCCTCCGGCAGCTCCACCAATTCAAACGTTTCGTTCTCCTTGATGCTCTTCAGCTCACTCTCCATGGCCTTCTTCCACTCCTCAGCATCACTACTCTCCAAAGCCTCCTTGAGAGTTGCTGGTTCTCCCGGCATCTCCACCGGAGAGAAGAACGCGAAGGCACACTCCTCGTAGTCACTCTCCTCGTCGTCTCCGACCATCATTGCTGCTCCGGCCAGGGCTGTCTTGCCCTGCTTTCCTGGCGCATCATAGGTCAGCCTATTAGGGGGTTGAACTCTCCTCTTCCCCCTTCCTTCCTCCTCAGCTGCAGGGACTTGAAGACCTTGGCGTTGCTGCGGTGTGGCTCGAATCCGTGGAGCACTTGTAGTGCGGGAAGGGAGTGACGGTGCACGCTCGCTCACTTGCTGCACCTCCTCCTCTTCTTCCTCTGCATCATTGGCCTCCTCTCCCCCATTCACAAGGGAGGATTGCCTCGTGGTTGTGCTGCCGCTGCTCAGCTCCAAAGGCAGCTCCACATGCTCCAAACCGGAACTCTTCACCTCCCCAAACCGCACGCCTATCTTCGCCGCGCTAGGCCGTCTCTCACTCCCCTACCTGTTCCCCGACCTCGCCTCCTTCCACACAGTCGCTGACCTCATCACGCACCTCCGTACTAGTGAGGCCCGCTTCCGTGCCGCTATGCCTGATGAGTTTCTTGCCACGAACCCACCCCCCGCTCTGGCTCACTCTCTACCACCTAGTCACCCGCCTCCCTGACTCTCTGCGTGCAGTCAGGGACCACTTCCTAGCTCGCTGCCCCACTGAGCTCACCATTGCCCTCCTCGAGAAGGAACTACTTGCAGCTGAGGCTAGCATAGTCGCTGTAGGTGCCTCTCGTGGCGACCCCCGCACCCCTTTCATCGAGGGGTGTTCCCCTTCCGCCCTTCTTCCCTCTGTAGCCTCTGCTTGTGCTGTCGACCTCCTTGGTGCTGAGAAGGTCAGGACTGCGTCTGCTCCGAGCTGGCGCCGCAGCGGCAAGGGCAAAGGGGGCAAGGGAGGCGGAGGTGACGGCGGGGGAGGCGGTGGCGGGGGTGGTGGTGGGGCTGGAGGGGCTAGTGGCAGCGGTGGGGGGTGGTGGCGGCAGCGGCGGGGGAGGTGGCAGGGGCGGGGGTGGTTGTGGGGGCGGCGGTGGACGCGGCAGCGGCAGGGGAGGGGGTGGTTGAGGGGTCCGGACGCATGCTTGCGCCTGGACGCATGCTTGCGCCCGGTCGCATGCTTGTGTCCGGACGCATGCTTGCGCCCGGTCGCATGCTTGTGTCCGGACACATGCTTGCGCCCGGTCGCATGCTTGTGTCCGGACGCATGCTTGGGCCCGGTCGCATGCTTGTGTCCGGACGCACGCTTTTGTCCGGACGCATCGGTCGCATGCTTGTGTCCGGTCGCATGCTTGTGTCCAGACGCATGCTTGTGTTCGGATGCATGCTTGCGCCCAGTCGCATGCTTGTGTCCGGACCCATGCTTGCGCCCAGTCGCATGCTTGTGTTCGGAGGCATCGGTCGCATGCTTGGGTCCGGACGCATGCTTGTGTCCGGACGCATGCTTGCTCCCGGTCGCATGCTTGTGTCCGCACACATGTTTGTGTCCGCACGCATGCTTGCGCCCGTCGCATGCTTGTGCCCGGACGCATGCTTGTGCTCGGTCGCATGCTTTTGTCCGGACGCATGCTTGTGTCCGAACGCATGCTTGTGTCCGGACTCATGTGTCAGAATCCCAACCACTAGACCATTGGGATAAAAGGGCTTGTTTCAGTAGCGGGTCAGTGCGCCCATAACCCCCCAGGCGAACGCGCCTGTAACCCTCTCCAGGATCAATCGGGCATCCACAGTGCATATCTATTGACACCCCCCAACACTGGGAGGCCCAGGACTAAGCACAGCGGCACCGGCCTACATGTGCATACACCGGGAATCGAACCCGTGACCGCTCTGATACCATGTCAGAATCCCAACCACTAGACCATTGGGATAAAAGGGCTTGTTTCAGTAGCGGGTCAGTGCGCCCATTACCCCCTAGACGAACGCGCGTGTAACCCTCTCCAGGATCAATCAAGCATCCACAGTGCAGATATACTGACATCATGCTTGCGCCCGGACGCATGCTTGTGTCCAGACGCATGCTTTTTTTTGGGCGCATGCTTGTGTCCGGATGCATGCTTGTGTCCAGACGCATGCTTGCGCCCGGTCGCATGCTTGTGTCTGGACGCATGCGTGTGTCCGGACACATGCTTGTGTCCGGAGGCATCGCTCGCATGCTTGGGTCCGGACACATACTTGTGTCCGGACGCATGCTTGTGTCCGGACGCATGCTTGTGTCCGGACGCATGCTTGCGCCCGGTCGCATGCTTGTGTCTGGACGCATGCGTGTGTCCGAACGAATGCTTGTGTCTGGACGCATGCTTGTGGGCGGTCGGATGCTTTTGTCCGGACGCATGCTTGCGCGTGGTCGCATGCTTGTGTCCGGACGCATGCTTGTGTCCTGACGCATGCTTGTGTCCGGACGCATGCTTGTATCCTGACGCATGCTTACGCCCGGACGCATGCTCGCGCCCGGACGCATGCTTCTGTCCGGATGCATGCTTGTGTCTGGATGCATGCTTGTGTCCGGACGCATGCTTGCGCCCGGTCGCATGCTTGTTTCCGGACGCATGCTCGTGTCCGGTCGCATGCTTGCACCCAGTCACATGATTGTGTCCGGACGCATGCTTGCGCCCGGTCGCATGCTTGTGTCCGGACACATGCCTGCCCCCGGACACATGCCTAGCGCGTGCAATATTGCAAGAACAAGGGCCTAGCGTGTGCCAAATTGCAAGAACAAGGGCCTAGCGTGTGCAGAATTGGAAGAACAAGAGCCTATTGTGTGCAAAATTGGAAGAACAAGGGCCTAGCGTGTGCAAAATTGGAAGAACAACGGCCTAGCGTGTGCAAAATAGCAAGAACAAGGGCCTAGCGTGTGCAAAATTGGAAGAACAAGGGCCTAGCGTGTGCAAAATAGCAAGAACAAAGGCCTAGCGTGTGCAAAATTTCAAGAACAAGGGCCTAGCTTGTGCAAAATTGGAAGAACAAGGGCCTAGCGTGTTCAAAATTGCAAGAACAAATGCCTAGCGTGTGCAAAATAGCAAGAACTAGGGCCTTGAGAGTGCAAAATTTCAAGAACCAGGGCCTTGCGTGTGCAAAATGCGAGAACAAGGACCTAGCGTGTGCAAAATTGGAAGAACAAGGGCCTACCGTGTGCAAAATTGGAAGAACAAGGGCCTAGCGTGTGCAAAATTGGAAGAACAAGGGCCTACTGTGTGGAAAGTTGGAAGAACAAGGGCCTAGCGTGTGCAAATTTGGAAGAACAAGGGCCTAGCGTGTGGAAAATAGCAAGAACAAGGGCCTAGCGTGTGCAAAATTGGAAGAACAAGGGCCTAGCGTGTGCAAAATAGCAAGAACAAGGGCCTAGCGTGTGCAAAATTGGAAGAACAAGGGCCTAGCGTGTGCAAATTTGAAAGAGAACAAGGGCCTAGCGTGTGCAAAATAACAAGAACAAGGGCCTAGCGTGTGCAAAATTGGAATAACAAGGACATAGCGTGTGCAAAATAGCAAGAACAAGGGCCTAGCGTGTGCAAAATTTGAAGAGCAAGGACCTAGCGTGTGCAAAATTGGAAGAAAAAGGGCCTAGCATGTTCAAAACTGGAATAACAAGGACATAGCGTGTGCAAAAAGCAAGAACAAGGCCTAGCGTGTGCAAAATTGGAATAACAAGGACATAGCGTGTGCAAAATAGCAAGAACAAGGGCCTAGCGTGTACAAAATTTCAAGAACAAGGCTAGCGTGTGCAAAATTGGAAGTACGAGAGCCTAGCGTGTGCAAAATTGGTAGAACAAGGGCCTAGCGTGTGCAAAATAGCAAGAACAAGGGCCTAGTATGTGCAAAATTGGAAGAACAAGGGCCTAGCGTGTGCAGAATTCGAAGAACAAGGGCCTAGCGTGTGCAAAATAGCAACAACAAGGGCCTAGCGTGTGCAAAATTGCAAGAACAAGGGCCTACATGTGCAAAATAGCAAGAACAATGACCTAGCGTGTGCAAAATTTCAAGAACAAGGGCCTAGAGTGTGCACAATTGCAAGAAGAAGGGTCTAGCGTGTGCAAAATTGCAAGAACAAGGCCTAGCATGTGCAAATTTTCAAGAACAAGGGCCTAGCGTGTGCAAAATTTTCAAGAACAAGGGCCTAGCGTGTGCAAATTGGAAGAACAAGTGCCTAGCGTGTGCAAAATAGCAAGAACAGGGCCTAGCGTGTGCAAA